CTTTGGTTTTGACCCGCTCCGATATGCAGGTTCTCATGGGAAATACACGAAGCAATGGTAATGCAGCAGTACAAGGATGCAGAGCTGTGACTTGTTCAGTCTGCTGTCATGGCACGACTGCTCTGACATGCCTGCATAGTCAGGCAGGGGTTGCACATGTGCAAACAAAGGATGAAGTACAACACACAAGGACAGAGATATGTCACCTTTTCCCCACACATGAAGACACATGAAAGGGCTCTTGTACGCAGCTGAAGCTTTTTGAGACTTTCCGGCCGTTCCTTCTGCACAGTTGGATGGCACGGGACTCAGAAGTGCAACTGCATACGGATGCCCACAACAAAGTTGGGATGATTTTCACTCTTCTGTGGCCCCTGCCAGTTTCGAACTGACTCATGGCCAAACATTGGCGGTGCTGTACAGCCAGCTGAAAAGCAAAACGGTTATCAGTAGTCACGAGCTGACAGTGGCAAATTGGCGTGGCAGCTTTGGCATCAGAGCGGGTGCCCATAAGGAAGCTTCTACGTGCCCATTGCGGCCTTTGCCCTCTTCAATACCTCCTGCCCGGCCTGGCTTGGGCGGTCCTGTCGCTTGGGTGGCGCTCCTTCAACCAGCTTGCTGGCGCAAGCAGAGGAGACTTCTGGCAGCTCATCCAGGAAAAGCGTATTGCCCAAGCGGTTGAGTGCCCACAAGGCATCATAGGCGGCACGGCAAAGACCAGGAGGTCCACTGACTATGGTCTTCAATTGCTGTGGCAGACCCCGAAGGATCGCCACATTCAAGCGGTCTTGCTTCCAAAGAGCTCGACCAGCTTTGTGAGGCTTCTCCCTGGAAATGCAATGGGTCACATGGAACAGTGGATGTGTCTCCAATAGCTGCTCGAATCTCTCTGCGAAGAGGGCATCATCCACAGTCTTATTACAGAGCAAAAGATGGACCTCAGGTGGCTCCTCGAGATTGAGGACAATTTCACAAACCTGCATGGCAAGTGTCACAGCACTTCCGCCTGCAATGACAACAACACCCTCGGCTAGAAAGCCTATGTCCAGCGTGGAAATTGGCTTTGCGACGGCTATGCATTCGCCCACCTTGAGACTAGCCAGGTGCTGAGTCATGACACCATTCGGGTAAACCTTGATCAGCAGGTCCAGCACGCCATTGGCAAAGTCTTGGGCAGTGCTGACTGGCGTGTATGCTCTGGATACTGTGCGGTCACCAAGTTCAGCTGCAAGATCAACATGCCAAACAGGTGCGATAGAGTCAATTGCAACATCACCGAGGCACCTAGCAAAGGAAAACACAAATGCTGGCAGCAAGATTAATATGCTACGCGTTGATCCACTACGAGTGGTGCCTTAGACCTCCTTTCAGTCCACATAGTCAACCTTTACCAACCATTGCTTGAAGGCATTGGATGCGCCTGGACTCCTGAAATGAAAGCCAGGTCAGTGTGGGCTGGGCAGGGGAAGTGCACAGCCCTGCAGGCGCTTAGGGCAAAAACAAGCGGTACTTCCCGTAGCCAAGGAATCGATCCAATCTTAACAGCCCTCCTTAAATTTTCGGCGCGCAGGCACCGGAACTTCAGCTGCACGCAATCGTGGTTCAGCGTCCTCACCGCCTGAAGCTGCCATTCCTGCGTGCTGCTCTTTCGGCAAGCGTATTTCACATCAAGGCTGTTGGACAACTGTAGTAGGCCTGATGTGAGGCAGCGTCAAAATCACTTGTTTGTTCTC